AAAACATAACATTGAGACCACATTAACCGCCCCAAGAAAGATCGGCCAAATCCTCGCAGCAGCAGAAGAAGATGACATCTAACAAGCTAAAGTCCTGTAAAAAGTCTACCCGAAGCCTACAACGAAAACAATGTACATATATATTTGAAAAGATTGAGATTAAGCTAGGAAAAAAAATAAAAACAAGACTAAAAAAAATCCATAACACACTGATTATAAAAAAAACAATAACACCCAAAACTACTCCTGTTGAATACATACTCAAACAATCACAAAAAAAAATCACACACACTTTTGTCAGCCTACTTCATCTCGCAAACACAAAGAAAAACAAAAAAAATACTAAAAAAGAACGACTTACTAATTCTCGCACATATTCAATAATTAACAAACTGCTATTCTCAACTGTAACTGTCACCATTCTTTTAAATGTTAAACTACTTCTCACATAACATAATTAAATCCTTTATGCTAACGCCTTTATGTTTCAGCTCATGCCGGAGGTCACATGTTCCAATCTTTAACGCATAGTATCTAACACAGACAATGGAAGCACAGCTAAAAAAAATAATTTGGTCGATTGTGAAGTGTTTTTTATGATTTTTTTCTCAAAAAATATACAGATTTCATAATTTTTTATAAATACAAAATATCATAAGCTGGTCCTGAAGTATTAAACGTACTAAAATGTTTGGAATACGGCCCTGATTCCAAGTCGTCTTATGTTTTTTATCAATGATAACTTATACCTCCAAAAAGTATAATGCAAAAAAACATTGTTTATACACACTGTTTATATAAACAACGATCAGCGGCAACGGAGCTCATTTTAAATTTTAAACAATGACAGATTACGTGGTAACCATAGATACCGTCAACTCACCTGTCACAGGTTTCTTGATACAAAATAATATTTAAAATTTTAGAAATTCTTAAATATCTCTAAAATTATTAACTTTAGGTATAGGGAATAGTAACATAGTAACATCAATCGAAAGATTTTATAATTTACTATTTATACGAAGTAGCTCCCGTTCCGAGGCGGGACTTAAGTTCGATCCCGACTGACACACTAAATCCGTTTTTATTCCCCGAGCGTTTTAAAATTAATGTTAAGCTGGATGGCTCAGATGGCAAAGCGGTCGTTTGGCATGCGAGAGGTACCGGGTTTGAGGCATTTGGCATAACTTCATCAAAATGAAGTTTTGCCCTTAAAACTTCTTTTAGAATCTGATATTATTTTGTCATAGTTATCTTTTTATATCGATATTATATAATGATTAACAAGTTAATTATCAATAATAAATATTACTGTCAATTTGAGAGCATTTAATTAAGGCGTCTATTTGCAATACCGGCTGCATCCATTTTAAGATAATTTACAAAATCGACAAGAATATTGCCACTCTTAACACAGAAGGATTTTTCTTTTTTAATTATTTTGATATAATAACTTTAATCTTTAATATCTCATTAAAGTTTAATGAGATATTACTTTGAGCAAAAATCTAGAAATCCTATACTGATAGTAAAGATCTTATAAAAACTTGAAGTATGGATGCGGCGGATTTTGCAGTAAAAATATGGATCTGGCCCATTTTGGAAAAAAATAAAATAGCCTATTTATGCATTTTTATTGTTTATTATAAGAATAATGTAAAAAAATAACAAAGAAAATGTGGTTAATAATTAACATTCTTTAGTAATTAAATTTAAATCAGTTTAGAAAAAACAATGGTGCATTCTGAAAACATTACCTACTCCAAAAAGAATAAGAGGATAAAACAAGATAAAGTTTTATTTAAATACTAGGTTGTTCTGTTTCTTCATGCGTTTCACAAACGGCAACTTCAGAAAATTTATTGGCAACTAGTATTTTTTTGTAATATTCTAGGAAATCAATTTCTTGCCAATTTATTATAATGTTTTTTCCATTGATTAAGCTGTAACTTCACAACGATTTGTTGTTTTAAATAAATTTTTATATTCAGTTTTAAATATATTTTTAACTTATTTCAACTTCAAACTACTTTTTGCGTGGTGTGTAAAAACTACCATATCGAAAATATCGATAGTCGAATTTTTGACTATCGCACATCTCTAGCTGATACACCTCAATGTAAAACTGTTACAGTATAATGTTGTGTAAATATGGTGACTGCGATTCTTTTCAGATGTTTAAAACCTGTAATTTGGAAGTAGCCGATATTGAAATAAACTCTACAATGGATGTGGCCGCCTTTGCAAAATATTACAAAATTTAAACGTAATTTTTAGGGGGATCTAACCGCTTTTAAAATAAATTGAGTTTATCACGTGATAAAGCACATCTTATAATATAGTTTTCTACTGTTAGATTAATTTTGATAAAATATGGATACAGCCACTATTGTAAGTAGACCTTAATTATTAAGGTCTTCTGCAGAAGTACCATTTTTTAAATACTAAAAATACTAAATCAAACTGCATTTCTCATTAGTTAAAACATGAATTTTCCAATAAACCCAATGAAACCATACAGGGTGTTATGTAATTAATGTTATATATTAAAATGGGTTGTTCCTTAGGGTCCATAAAGAAGCACCTGAAACTTTTTTTTTCTAAATTCCAAAGTCTAAAAATAATTTAAATAACCTTTATCCTACCAAAAACTACGCCACTGATCGACTAGGAACTTTAGGTTAATCTGGTGGATTTATTATGTTATGGTTGGTAACAACAGTTTCCAAAATCTCTCAAAAAAGTTGACAAACATTGTTTAAATTTAGCTTAATTACAAAAATGACAAAATTAACAATGCAAATTGTCAATTTGGCGTTTTTATTAATTGTTTGGTTATTTCATTTTTGTACTGAAGGTAAATTCAAACAAAATCTGCCAACTTTTATGACAGAATCTAGTGCATTTATTTTAAATTTTAGGTTATGTTTTCAAATTGTAAATATCTTAACTAAGGGAAGTGTTTTTGGATTTATTTACACAAATTAAATGTTTAAAGTTTAACCTGTGAACTGGTCCCAATTTCATCTGAGTAAACAGAGAAAAAAACTGATGAAAAAATTAATTTTGTGGTTATGGATTTCAAATTTCAAAGGTACTAAATTTTCTAATCATTGCTTAAGCTAATAGCTGGATCAGTAAATAAATACAGAAGGGTATTAGAGCTTTAAGGGCATAAAACTTTTGTATTTATTGAGTTTTTATTTATTTTTTGCAAGAAAAATTTTTAGTAACAATTTTTTACATCTGGAAACGCATAGCTACTTTGTTGGTTGGTATCTATGTACTCACAAAATACAGGTGTGCAGAGATAAACAAGTGTGTAACCAGTGGCGTATCACAAAAAATATAAAAAACTTCTAATGCATATTTTTTCTTTATCTTTGGAAAAATACTTTTTAAAATATTTTTCCTTTATTCCTTATATCAAAAGGTATTCAGTATTTTAATATATAACATTAATTACATAACACCCTGTATAATAATACTTGAAACAATACAACCTATTATTGTTGTTTAAAATCTAAATGTTTACGCTCTTATCTCTTTTTCAATATTGTAGGTAGAATTTTTGTAACAATTTTATAGTATTCATATACACTTTTAAGGTGGTGGTTAGGATACCCTGTATTATGTACAAGAAGTATAAGACAAGAGCGTCGGGGCAAGATAATAGATAGGGAATATGAATTGTAGGTTAAGGTAGTTGTCGTGCTGTAGACATACCATCAGAAAATTTTAAATTTTTGTATACTTATTAAGGACATGACAATACAATTATCCTTAAAATTTAAAGTCGATTGACCGTCTATAACCCGAGATAAATTCAATTAAAAATTGGATAATTAACATGGATTCTATACGATTTCTGTTGTTCTGTACAAGTTTCTTAGTTATAAAAAAAACTAACAGTCAGAAGCTTTCAAAAAACTAACAGTCTTTTAATGTATTTTTGCTGAGTTTAAAAAAAATAATAAAAATTTTTTGATCGTTCAATTGTTTATGAATAACCGTTTAAAATTCAACAATTTGTAAAAAGTATACATACTAGAGAGTCAGATAAAAACAACTTGGCAACGCTGTACACGAGTATAAATATTATTTGAGAAGTGAATTTAAACAGACTGATTCAGTCTCCAATATATCTATAGGTTGCGCATACAACGTTGCCGGATTAAAACTTATGAAAATTTGTAAAAGTATTACGTATAGGTAACGTCTCCAAGGGTACAGTCTTGCGAAAAAATTATGAATCACTTAGCTACAAGCTCGTATACTTTTACGGTGCGTATAATCTAAAAAATTTTGACAATATTGTACCACGACAACTACCTTAAATAAATACAATTTGTTGTGTCGTACTGAAGCTTTGGGTTCGGCTAAACTGATCCGAAGGATTCGCCGAAAGACTTCCTGCAAATCCCCATTTCCTAATAAAAAGTAGGCTTCGGCTAAATATTTGGCTTAACTTTAGCTGCATGTTTGGCCATGGGTTAAATTTTTTTATACATTTATTAAATAAAATCATACAACTTTGGCTTCGGCCGAAGGTATTAAAATCATCGGTTCGGCCGAAAAACTCACTTTCGGTCAGATTCTAGCATTTTGTAAAGTATAACAATATACTGATAACGGTGGAAAGTCTAAATGTTTTAACTTTTTTTGTCCAGGAGATCTACTTCTCGACCAAAGTCCATATTTTTTTGTATTTTTTTGTCCAATTTTGTTCGTTTACCAGAAATCAAAATTTGGGAAAATTTCCCCCAAACCGTAACTGCTAGGAATTATCGGACTATAAGTTGCCTGGCATTTGATTAAATTTTTTTGAATTTGTAGGGCCCTCCTTCCCCTTGGCGACGCCCATGTTTTTACTAATAAATTTTATTAAAAATATATAATTTCTTAATGATTTACTTATAAATATCAAATATTCTAGTAACAATGATAGATTACAATTTAAATATCTTTTTACTTCGTAATTTTATATAAAAATATATCAATATAAGTACAGTTTTTAAAAGTAGCATTTACTTAAAACTATCATATTTTGTAGTTGAGTACTGGGGTCTTCTTTGTTGCAGAGAAATATTAATTTCTTCTGGAGATCTAAATACTTGTCCAATAGAGGTTTGAGGTCTATATATTGAAGATACAGTTTGTTGACGTGGTTCAATTGCAACACGAACCTAATAAAGTAAATAAATAAAAAATTAAACATTTAATTATAGATAACACCAAACAAATATTTTATTGTGCCTACTTACAGAATGCTGATGGAGGTTTGGTTCATTATCATCATTATTATAATTTTGGGTATATGTGTCAGGAAAATATCTGTCAGAATATCTTAAAGAAACGTTGGGTTTGGTTTGATGTTCCTCCAAATTTACTGGTTTGTAAAGAAAATCATTTACAAAATGATAGTTGGAAGACTTTTCACAAATATTGTCTCCTCCAGGAGGCATGCATATTAAATGGACCTAAAAATATAAAATTTTACTAATTAGTATCTAATATAATTTTATATCCTGAATATGCAGAGCTATAGAACATAATTATTTAAACTTGTGGTAATTTAAAAAATTGCTTGTCAGGCGCATTAAGAGGATTAAAGTTCTGTATATTTTTTATGTGTCCAATATTAATGTATTCCTGTATGTGTGCAGTGCAGTGTGATATCAATCTCCTAATTTTTCAGGAGGTTTCTTGAAAGGAAGTTCTACTATAAATCTACTCGCGGAGTCTCGTCGAGTAGTATTATGGAAGTATTGTTCGCAAGCAATTTTTTTCTTTGACAAAATTTGCTTTTCGGCAATTTGCTCAAGCTACAATGTAGTTGCTGTTTGTGAATTCAATCGAACGGACAACTTGTGCGGTACCAGTTCCTAATGATGATCTTAAGTAATGAAATTTTGAATGTCATAAGGCCTCATTTTAATGCACTAACGATTTAAATAAATCCGCAAATTCTAACCAATTTTGGTAAGAACCGTTAAATTTGGGAATTTAAAGTCGTTTTTTCGCGTAAATACTACTATACTGTAATACTACGGTTAACACGTTGAATGCGGATGCTAAAACTGAGCCTAATCTTTCAAGTGCGGTATCGGTCTTCTGAGCCCGATGCTGGTAAAGTCTGCTGTGCGGTATCGGTCCTTGGGGACCGATATGTTAAAAAAGATAAAGCGACATCTGACGCAAAATTTATGAATGATATCAGTATTTTCTGTATAGGATTCTGTTTGCCAATTCCCCCAACAGAAGTGACATCGTCAGCATCGGTCTCCGGGGACCGTAACCGCACAGAAAGATGGTTAACATTTAGTTACCTATATCATTTTTAAAATTATTTTAGCTTCAAATAAAACTTTTTTATTTCAACGTTATTTATTACTTAAGAAATAAATATACATATTGCTTACAAACACAAAATATCAATTTTCTGATAAACTGTTAAAAAAATCAAAATTTGACAGAAAACAGCTAATTCAAATATAGGTCTCTGGGGACCGATAACGCATGTTAGAAATAAATATTACTCCAGTGCGGTACCGGTCTCCGGAGACCGATGGAAGGTTAGACGTTTGTTAAAGTTCTGTACCTCTTAAGGATCAAAAAGCCATATTTAATGCGAAAATAGAGTTTTTCGTTTCGAAGATACAGCTCCCGCACCATGAGTAGTTTAAGCACATATCTAGCCGCATAGAAACGCAGTTGCGCCATCGGTCCCCGGAGACCGACGACGCAGTCAACGTGTTAAATAAGTCATGACGTCACAGTTAATTCATATAACCATGGTTAGGTTTATAACATTTGACATTTGTTTACTTGTTCATAACCTATAATTTTTAAAATGTGTTTTTACCTATTTATATTTAATTTCTATGCTTTTACCGGTGTTAATAAATTTCTTTGCCTCTTTTTATACCTAGTAAATTCTTTTTCTATAGGTACTAGTTTTTTCAGTGCACGTTATCCAATTCTCCTACATGTTTAATACAAAATAAGAAAGAATATAAAACAAACCTGCATATAATTCCTCCACTTGTGGAGAGTCCACAATATGGAGCACCCTATCATTTATTTTTACTGACAACACCCCGTTTACCATTTTAATACAAAGTTTAAATTCGGTTTAAGAGCAATTGTACCTACTTAAAATATTTTAAATTTCAAATGTAAACAACTTTTGACAGATCGAAACAGAAAAATATAAATTAAAAAGAGAAAGACTATTAACCACGTTGAATAACTAGCTCAGCGATATAGTTTTATGGTCTGGTATTTGTGACGTCATAGTTAGAATGTTTGAACGCACTCTAAACGCAAAAATTACTTAACTATTAACCAAGGTTAAGTTTAATAACCATAGTATTTCATGGTATTTACGCGAAAAAACGACTTAAATGGGTTTTAGTTTCATGCCTGCAAATTTAAAAGTATTGTTTTCATGAGGGCTGTGTACAATGTACATGGGCTCCGCTACATAGGGGCAGGGGCCCCCCCTGAAAATTCATACCCAGAAATTCCGGTACTCCATAATTTGACGGTAAGTGCTGATCGTTACCATTTGTTCATTATTTTTTAGATAAATTAGATTTGTTATCTTAGATAATTTAACTTAGATTTGTGCCGTCTTAATGAACACTAGTGTTGTTACAGTGGTAAAATGAATAAAATGGCTGGCTGTTCAAAGAAATCAGAAGCACAGTTTACTGATTCCTTTCATAATCCTATGACGAAGAAACCAGAAGCCACAGATCATTATGTTCATATTCCAAAGATCTTCGATGGAATCTTATATACGTGCAATAAGGTTCATATCAATTTTGATTTGGAATCCAAGAGTTATTTATATATTTATCAAAAAACTGTGATGTATTTTTTGCAATATGTACCAATATAAATAAATAGGTAAATATAATATAAAAGATGATATTTTATTTGACTTAAGTTTAATGTGAACTTCTACAGTACAACTTGATTATAAATAACATCTATCAAAATTGTAAAAAACTTTAAGGCCCCCCCTAGACGAATTTCTTCCGGCGCCCATGGCTTTGTAAAGGGTTGCTTGTAACTAAATTATTTCCGGACTCATTGTCTGTCTATCTGCATATGAAAGTTAGATTTAAATGTATCGCGCTCTTCATATTCGATTTGCAATAAACGTTCATCGGTTGTTTTGTCTTCAAATAAACCCTGTATGTTTTCAAACTCAAAAATAATATTTTTTAATGATTTAAACGTTTTTTTCAAGGCTAAAATGTTTACGCCAGAAAGAGGATCATTCCTTTCTTGGATGCTTGATAAATATTTTACAAAATTCGTAACTTTAGCCTTAAGGGTTGTTGCAGGTGCGCCCCTTCTACAGGTAGGGGAACGGCGGGTATTGACGTACGAAGCATTAAAATTAATTACAGATACACATATAACTTCAAAATTTGTTGTGGGTGTAGCCTAAGCTTCACTGTAGTGATATCCGGTGGAAACAAATACATTGATATTAAGCAAGAAATGCAAAAATGTATATTTTAAAAAACGGTTCATGTTCGGCATTACCCTCCATTGCGGGTATTACCGAACATGCATAAACTAGATTAAAAAACGTAACAAATTCAATATATTTGGTATACAAACATAAATAATAGCATACAACATATTAAAACAAAATAAAAAATGTGGTCTATAGTAAATATTCAGTGCTGCAAACCTGGACAATAGCCGCAAATATAGTCTTTAGGACTATCATAATGGCGTACGGGATTACCCGAATCTACTATGTAGGTTAAAAAAATTTACTACGATGTTATTTGCAATATGTCAACTTACATTTCAGACTTAAATCAACAACAAATACTAATTGTTCGTACACTGGCAGCACTGTTTTAAAAAACCAATTCAATATGTTCGTTGTAATTAAAAAGTCACAGCGGTCTTATAAGACGCCATGCAAGAAACTTTGTTTTGGTGTGGAAGTTTTTGTTGATAAGGTAGATTTTTAATTCTTGCAGCCATTTACCAGATATCTAAGTAGGCATCGTTTCATGCTTTAACTTTTCCAAAATAGATGGCGTAATCGAAAATTTGTCATTAACGGGATTACCCGCATGTACGCCAATACCCGCCGCTCCCCTAAATGTGGTAGGGTTGGAATTTCAACACAATAATTTGCTACTCATTCATATTTTATACATCAAAATAAGAAGACTAATAAATTAAATCAAAAATCACTTACATTTTATTCAAATAAAAAATTATAACACAATAAGAGAAAATATTAAAAACTCTACTATAGAGTCGCAAAATAAGGGCTGTAAGAACTGACATTTTTGAGAGTTTTTGTGATTAATGATAAATACACTGGATGGTACATTTGCTTTAACTTTTAAATAATAGGCAAAAAAAATTAAAATATAAGTCAAGCGTAAACAATTATAATAATTTGAATGTAGATCAAATTCAATCGAAGCTTTATACTTGTATTGACAAAAATGTATACTTTAAGCTGAATTAGAAAAAACTACAATAATTTTTTAGAAGTAATTGTAAAGTAAAAATATTAGATACTCCTATTATAATAATAATAATATATAATAATATATAATTATATATACTATAGTATATATATAGTATATATATATACTATAGTATATTACTGTGGGATTCATTAAAATTTTAAAAATTCAGTCGACGCTTTTACTTGTAAAAACCAATTGACAGTAGGTATGAGGTAACAGTTGAAACTTCAAGATTATTATTTATTATTATTTTCAAAAACATGTAGGTGTAAAAACCATTTACAGTTTTTCGAATAAAGTAATGGTTTTATATCTGGTATCTCCTATACTGTGTTTATTTCCAATAGCCAATTGTTCAATTAAAGTTTACATTTAGTTAAAGTCTATTTTATTTTACTCCGTCATAAATATTCTATATCTACTGTAAAACTTAAATAAAATTCAAGATTTAAAAAAAAATGTGTTTTATACCAAATAAACTAATATTACACTGTAAAAAATAATTAACACAACTTCACACGCCTCAACACCAAACTTTGTTATTCCAAGTCCACACGAAATCTTGTACAATTTTAACACAGCATCAGTGTGTTGATTTTTTTTATATCGTGTAATAATTTACACTTAAAAGTTTAATTATTCTTCGTGTAAATTATTACACGATATAAAAAAAATCAACACACTGATGCTGTGTTAAAATTGTACAAGATTTCGTGTGGACTTGGAATAACAAAGTTTGGTGTTGAGGCGTGTGAAGTTGTGTTAATTATTTTTTACAGTGTAATATTAGTTTATTAAAATTCAAATTTTTACTCCGTAATCTGATTTTGTATTAAACTTTGGCATGGTATTTCTGAATGCTATAGTTGCATGTTACTAAAATCACATACTTTCAACGGCCTGCGAGTTGAAAGGCAACTTTCATTTATTTTCTTGTAAAAAATACCTGTTTCAATTAATTGTTAAAATTCTTCATTAGTTAATTGTTTTGTGATTGGAGGCTCAGTAATTCTGCAATCTTGCCATTTTATTAAATTAAGATATGATTTCACTTTAAAATTTAACTAACGAATTTTCTAATAGTTTTCTTTATAATAATAATATTCTTCTTTTTCAACCAGCAGCTTAATATAAAACTATCTAAATTGATCTTTTTAAATAATAATTTTCTTTTATGGCGACCTCAGTCAAAGATTATCGTTATATTATTATATTTTCAGGTGGCCATAAAAGCCAGTTCTTTAGATTACGGCTTTTAGCTGGTCACCTAAATACCTTAAATAATAAATTAGTTTCCAGATGTGCTTAAAGTTACTTTTTTAACAAAAAAAAAAACAAACAAGCGGAATTCGGCCATTGGTTATTATTATATTACAGGTGGCGGGAAAAATCGTGGATTTTTTTAATCCTTTATTGGAGAAGTCATCCTGTGGATTTTTGAAGATATTTTGTAAAGCAAAGAGAGCTCTAATAATTAACCTAACAAAATTACGCAGGTCAAACTTCGACGTCTCGATTTTAACTAAAAACCCAATTCTAGAATTGGGTTTTTAGTTAAAATCGAGACGTCGAAGTTTGACCTGCGTAATTTTGTTAGGTTAATTATTAGTCGTCTGTGTAAAATTTTAGCACTCGTAATATAACAATCAAATAAGGCAAATCTGAAGCGAGTTTAATATTGCATGTCCAGGAAATTTTCACGAAAGAAGTTGTGCCTTGGAGCCGAGAAGGCATAAGCAATATTTTTTACACTGGGAGTATGTTTGAGTTGGTTTCCTGTATGGCTATTACTGCCCTACTATGGAGAAAGGCAGTAATTGCAAAAAAATGCAAAATGCGTTTTCTTGTGCTATTGTAAAGCTATGGACATTTTGTAACCGAATTCAACACAGAAATGCAGTCAAATATTTCATAAGTTAAAAAAATCAATTAAATACCTACTGCTTTTTATAAAAATGTAGTTTATACTGATTTTCCTTAAATTTCTTGTTTAGCAGTTACTGCCTTTCTCTATAGTGTGGCAGATTAGCTGTTATAGTTATATATAATGTGTATATTTGAAGCTTAATATATACATAGGTCATTTTTCTTGCATAAGCTTCTGGCGACCACTAAACAATAACAAGGTTTGTTTTTCCTACATCCAGTGCCCGACTGATTCTAGTTAGCCGTTCGCAAATGCCCTATTTAAATTAACAATTTTGTCATAATTTATACCGTTATAACATTAGGACATAAAAATAAGGTTACAACAAGTTAATTTATTTAATATAACTTTCATAGATTTTTAGGGAGGTTTATAGATCGAAATAATGACCATTTTAGATTGTCCCTGAATAATTATAGATAAGAACTATGAGGGCGCAATAATCCATATGGCCAGTGACAATAAGGCCGCAATCAACGCTGCAGCGCGCTGTGAGCAATGTCAAGAAGCAATAAAATTTGCATTATAGGTCCAGAACCATTTTGCGGGTATATAAGATATTGGACTGGTGGAATATTGTGGGAAATCACTACAGATCATGACTCAGTCAATGAGCATCTAAAAAAGATGGGTGGATAACGATTCCTGAAGATTCTGTAGAGAAGACATAGAATCTATCTACACACCATGGTTGAGCTAGAGGAAAAAGGGTAATATTATTCAGAAAAGCATTCACATCAAAAAAATCTGATATTTATTAATAAAAAAAAGTTATAAATAATACAGTATTAGAACTGCTATCTTAGCAAAATAAATTAATAATTAATGTTAGTCATGCATAAGATTATTAGATGTTACCTGATGAAAAGTAAACCCTTCTGGGCATATCCACGAGTGCTTAGCATTATCCTGGCAATAATGAAAAACTTCGCATCCTAAATCTTCATCAGCGTAATATCCGGTGTTTTTCGCATTACAATTAAATTTAGATTGAAGTAAAAGTATGCTTAGTCTATCAGGTTCTTCTTCTTTTTCTTCTAATTTATTTTCAGTCTGCTAAAAAAACAAATGTGATGTATATTTTATTTTATTTTATTAGAAATATTAACAATGAAATAAACGCCCGGTCTATTTTTTTTTTTTGTAAACACTTACCGCTTCTTCTCCTCTTCTGTATTGGACTTGTTGTATTTCTGGATTTTTTCTTTTGTAAGAAAGTTGTGTTTTTGTATGAATACTTCGAAGTGGAATTTGAACCTTATAGTCTACATTAGGATTAAGATTAATATATCCTCGTGGGCTATCTTGACTAGATGCTAAATTACTATCCTTAATGTTTTCATGTTCTGCATCTTTGTAAGAACTAGTTATAAAACCATCATGTTTGTTAGGAAAACTATTAACAATGGCAACTATCCCACATAGACATATAATTAAAATATTCATTCTAAAAATATTAAATTTATTTTATTCCTTTTATATTAACGTTTACAATGGTTGTTGTTGTAATTCTAATTTCATAAGTTTGATATTTAATTTTTTAAACCTAATGATAAAAATTCCTGAAAACGCATTGGCAAATTTATATTACAAACGTTATTTAAAAGTAACAAAACCTTTTCATACATGTTTTAATTCTTTCAAGAATAAAATACATATATTTTTTTAAATTATATATCATTATTTTTTTAATTATTATAGTTACATTTTTTATACGTTTTAAAAAAGTAATTACCAAAAAAATAAAAACTGATAAATATTTATTTTTTTACATTTTGTTTTGAATAATCGGTTTCAGAAATTTTACCTTAAATAAAAATATAAAGAGTGCTATTGGAGAAGATAAAGACGGCAGTAATTGAAAGAAATACAACAGTTACTGGGCACCAATGTAGCGCATCGTTAGGGGTGTATTGGTTTATTAATTTTGTTATAAATTATATTTATTGTTATTTAAGTTAATTAATAGCCCACTTATTTATTAATTATGGCCCTAGCACCTACCTAGCCAAGTAAAAAAAGTAACAATATTCTGGGTGAGCGATAAAAAATAAACATTTTTGTATTTTTTACAAAAATAATTTGCTTTACTGAATTTGCGAAACGCATTTCGTGATTTGTATGGTCCACATATTGAACCAACTGACCTCACTATTGTCTTGTTCTAGATGAATTTCGAACCACATACAAAGTCACAAATAACTTAATATTCGCTTTATTGGTAAAAATCAGTACGTTTGTACCAAATTCAGTACTTTAGAATTAAAAAAAGTACGCAAGTACCTCGTTGATGGTTTTCAGTACGTTTTCCAGTTTTAGATTTTTTTCTCTTTATTTAAATAAAAATTAAAGAAAAAATTAAAAGTATAGGTTGGTGATACTGAGTTGTTTTAGTATCCTGATAATTTTAGTTTTAAACTGTTGGCAGCGCGCGTTGTCTACTTAGTGTTGACATAAAGTTTGTTCCAAGTTCCCGAAGAACAGTCCTAGAACCTTTGCTCATGGGAATAAGATAAAAAACGTCGAAAACGTTTACATGCAAAGCAATTATTGAAGCCAAATACTTCAATCTTTGTTAAAAAAGAAAATTAATTATCTATAGGTATACTATTTTTTTTTTCGAAGTTTTTTTATATAGTTATAATAATAATTATCTATTTTGTTCTTCTGATGTTTATAGTTTATTTTTGTGCATGTGTTTATTGATAAAGTACAAAATAAAATTACGTTCATATAAGTTTAATGTTTATTTCTCAAAATTGGAGAAAAACCCAAAGTCACTACGTTATCTTTCAAATTCAATACGTTTTTATTGCCTTTTCATGATAAGTATACTTATTCGTGATTGGCGCATATTAAAATGCAACGGCCGTAAACTCACGTGTCGAACTAGCCTGACGACTGAAAGGGTAACAACATAAAAGCAAGAGACGATCCAGGGAATTATGGAAGCAGACTCTGCGGAGCAAGGCTAAAAGAATTAATTTTTGCCGGCCGAGGCGAATCCGGCCGTTTTTCGATAGAACTTGACTTGCCTGCTTGTTGTCAAAACGAGCCTTCGTAAGTTTATAGGATTTGCTTAAAAAAAACGTCCCGTTCCCGTGTGCCGTTTACTCCCTACCGTGAACGTGACCCTCCTTACGAATAAATATATACGGATATATAAACGTTAACAAGTAAGAAATACGGATATATAAAGTTTACAAGACTAATAAATGTGATTAAATAATTATTTGAATTTATTTATACATTCGTATTTATTTAATTAATTAATGTAATTGATAAACAAAATTATTAATGCAATCCGAAGTTTTTGCTTGGAAAGGTAAGCCTTTTAACAAAAAAACCTTGTTATAAATTGGCGACCAGAGCAGGGACTTTTGTAGGTAAACCGCGACACCGACCGCTCCGACCGATACCAAGCGCTCCGACCGCCCCGACCATTGACGCTCCGACTGATACTGACAGCTCCAACCGTACAGCCGTAAATTTAATATTTAATCTGGGTCGCCGACACCGTTTTTGACAAAATGTTCGAACACAAAAGCCTTAAGCAAATTTTGGAACCATATGCAGATGCTTTAACGACGGATGTCGTCGAAGTTCGGATAAGCTAGGATGATCCTTAGATCATTCGTCCGTCCATCCGTAGGAGCATCGCTTTTCCGTCTTGCTATAGCAGTATACTGCAGTATACTGCTCAGGGTTACGCTACAAGTGCCTGTAGCAGGCCCATTTGCGATAAACTCACTCCGTTTTCAACCTTTGTCTGTCGAATTCCATGACCGGCCCGGTTAACCACCAGTATGTGGGACCCAAGACCCTTCAGTTTCCACCTGGCTCAGCAGATGTTTTATTGCTGAATTTGTGGAGGCGGGCATCAGACACTGGTGCAGCCTACTCCAACCGTGGAAATTAAAAAGGTGAACGATGTTCTGTTCAAGGCTAGCAGCAATAAAGTGTCATGCCGTTCACGTAGTGACGCGTCATGACGGCCTAGCATTTTATATAAGCGCATACACCGTTTCTGGAGTTCTTGGGGCACATTCCCAATTACGATTTGTTGATCGGAATGAAATTTTGACAAAGTTAACCTGATGTAGCCAATCGTGCGGTGACAGTTCGTTCCCTGTTTGGATTTCCTGTATAGGCTCCGTATCAGAAGCCGTTTTATACACCGCAAGCTGAAGGGAAAAATAAACTTAATTTCATTTCTTCCGAAGTAAGGGGGGATGTAACGAAGATACTTTTTAATTTACATATTAAAATCATCATCGTGAAAACCCGTCCTGTATAAGTCAAAGTTCCGTCCGTAAAAGCAGTCGAAATAACGTTATAATGTTCTTTATCAAATTCGCACACGGCACCATGATTCCAAGAAGGAATTGGTGTATCCGTGATAGGTGCATATTTAAATGCAACCGCCGTAAACTCACTCGTCGAACTTGCCTGCCAACTGGAAGGGAGACAACATAAAAGCACGAGACGAGCCAGATTAAAAGGAATTATTGAAGCAGACTCTGTGTAGCAGGGCTAAAAGAATTAATTTTTGCCGGCCGAGGCAAATCCGACAGTTTTTCGATAGAACTTAACTTGACGTGTCTAATTTGTATTCGTTCTTGGTGGAAAGGTAAATGTTGCATTGTTATTTTTGTCAAAAAAATTACTTTTTTTTAATATTCGAGCACATTGCACTTAAACTACTTAACTAATTGGGAATTAAGAGAGTGACATGTTTAGTTTAACACCTTTTGCAACCAGGTTGACCGTTTCCAACTCGGGATAGGTCCCAAGTAGGCAATATAATGGTCGTTACCGTGTGCAGAACTTTGCAATTACAAATTCAATTTTAAAAATTCCACATAATAGCCTTTTTACCCGACATAATGTGGTGTATTATGGGGAAACATATTTATGTAAAACTTAATTTGAGATAATTTCGTAAATTAACTAGCGAATGTTAAATAAAAATGTATACAGAAACTTCCTTTGACTTTATTGATGCCATATAAAAAATATATAATTTAATGGCGGAAATAACGGCCGGCAAATGCGCTGTTGTCATCTGGGCCCCCTACAGGAAGGCTCTAGGGCCCCCAGCTGAAATTTTATAATTTCTTTAAGCAAAAATTCTTTAAAACAATGATATCATTTTCTAAAAAAGTGATTGAAAAAGTTTCAAATTTTTTAAATTGTTGTAGGTTTATGTATTAGCATATAAAAGTTTTCCCAAAATATTGCATTATAATTGTAATTAATTATAGGTGTGGTGCAAATAAATAAACAAATTTGCTGCAGCAGGAGAACAGAAAGTCTGCTTAATTTGCGTCGGGACTTAAAAATAATAAATAAAATAAATACTATGCTTTAAAAGAATATTTGTTAATTTATTTTAATAACAATTTCCAGAATATGCTTTTCTGTTAAAAAAAGGTTAAAACAAACGATATTTTTGAAATTAAATGAGACACTGAAAAGTAAATATAAAAAATAGAAAATGTAAAATAAAAAACGTGTTGTAAAAATAAATTAGGTATGGTAATTTACCATTGGTAAATTGTTTATTTAGGTCATTCATTTCAACATTCAAAATTGTTTTGCAAAGTTAATATATTTTTTGCAAAATTTTTTAAACTAGTGAGAAAGTGGTTCCTTGTTATAAGTTTGTCAAGGTAAATTTTTAAATATATATATTTCATTTATTATAAAGATAATAAATAAATAAATAAATAGTCATTTATTAGCATTAGCTATTATTATTACTGTTTTACACTCACAATACTTAATATATTAAGCATCATTTTGATTGGAGTATACCTGTTACATTTTAAAATATTTCTTAATGCTTTATTTTGAAGTTTTTGTATTTTATTATTATTTATACAGAACAACACAGTTAAATAATAATCTAAATGCGGAGCTACAATGGCTTTATACAACAATAATTTCACATGTAATGAGAGATTTTTTCCAATTTTACCAAGGAAATTTTATTTAACAAATACTCAACATGATTTTTAAAGTTTAAATTTGAATCAAAAACAACACCCAGATACTTTATTTTATCCACTTTTTCAACTCTTATATTATTAATAAATATGTTTACATTATCAAAATCTATATTAACAGTTTTATGACTAGATAAAATACGCATATATTTTACTTAGATTTAGACACATATTATTATCACAAATCCATTTATAAATATTTCCTAATTCTTAATTTAAATTATTTACCATATCAAAAATATTATCACCACTAACATAAATCATAGTATCATCTGCAAACATATAAATATCACAATCTTTGGAACACTTTGGCATATTATTTATATACAATAAAAATAATAGAGGTCCCAAAACAGTACCCCGAGGTACTCCATAATTGTTTTCGATTTTATCTGACATTACATTATTAATTTTAACAATTTGAGATCTATTGGTTAG